ATATTGTGTCAGTTTGATTACCCGAAAATGTTGTTTATCTATTACATTTCAAGTAAAGTTTTTTGATCGATTTGAGTGAAACCGTCTTCAAGTCAATTAAAGCTTATATGGACATAAAATAGGCTTCAAGTACGCTTGAAACTGACGTATAAACAGAAGTACACATATAAAATTTTAATTTTCTTTGGGTAAGATAACACTGCCTGACGCAAAGTGTTACAACATTTCTAAGATTTTTATAATACCAACCCTAAAAACATTAATACCAAAACTTTTTTTTTTTTTAATTATGTACAATAATAAAACATTATAAAAAATACTTTTAAAAATTTCTACCCAAAAATAAAAAAAAAAAAACCAAATTTACTCACACTTTAAGGCCAATTAAGAGAAAAAAAAACATAATAATAAAAATATAATCAATTTTTATGTTTTTTTTTTTATTTTTATTATTTTTTGAGGCAAAATGAAAAAAAAAACAATTCAAATTTTCATAGAACGTTCAACAATACGCAAGCGAATTTTTTTTCAAACGAACTTTCATTTAATAAAAAAAAAATCATAAAAATTAATAAAATTTCATGTTTCATTTACATTTTGTGTGTTTCTTTTTTTTTTTTGTGCAATTTTCAAAATTATCTAAAATTAAATTTGTTCTTTTTTCAAAGTGATTTTTCTAAAAATAATTCAAAATTTTAAATAAAAAATATTAATAAATAAAAAAAAAAATTTTGCAATAAATTTGACGTTTTATTTTTAATTCGAAATGTCATTATTTTAAAAATTGTGCATAAAATAATCGAATTTTTTGACGTATTAAAAAAAAAAAGAGTAAACGAAATTTTTATTTTCAAAATTAAAAAATTAAATTGATATTTTTTCGAAAATAAGTGAACGACTTAAACGAAAACATTAAAAACACGCAAGCACACATAAAAAATATATAACAAAAAAAAAAAATAATTAAGAATCTGTTATACGCTCAAATAAACAATAAATTTCTGACAACTATTTGAATTTATCGGTTTTTGTTTTCTTTTTTTTTTTCTCTTTTTGTGTTCTCTTCTATTTGAAGTGATATATACGGTATAATTTTATATATTCGTACATATAATTGAATGTATGTATGTATATATACGAGTATATATAATCGCGATCTGTAGCAGCATTGTGTGAGGTAAGGTGACTTATTTTGACACATTTATGTTGACACATTAAAAAAAAAAATTTTTTTTTTCTCTTCATAATATTTTTTTATAACATTAATTTATTGCATTGCAACTTTGTTAGTTTAAAATATGCTGTTATTATGATATTAAAGTGATCAGATAGAGTGTTGCCATCATAACATAAATTTTTTAATGTACCTATTTACATACTAATATAATACAATTTATAAAATTTATCTATCTAATCTAATTATAAAACTTGTCTATCTGTTATATATTTACATATATTATTATAAGAGAATAGTATATTGCATTTACAATAGCATAGAGAAGACAGAGAGAGAAAGGGAGAGAGAGAGAGTAATTTTGTATAAAATTATAAAATATTTTATGACATTTCACAAAAATATGCTTAATACAATTTTATTTCCTATTCGGAATTTTTTAATGTACGCTCTTTTTTTTTTTTTGACTTGATCACATTAAAATTCTTTTCACTTCTTTATATTATACCCTATATACGATATCTATAATTTATTTATGCAATTCCATGTACATATGTACGTAAATTTTTCTAATTTATGTGTTCACATACATTCATACATATACGTACGGAAATGTGTTTTTGTACTCGTATGATATTTATGTTGTGATTTCAAAATATTTGTGAATTTTTATGCATGAAATTTTTTTTTAGAGTAATAAATTTTTTTTTTTTCTAGGATGTGAAACCGCTGTGTTTTTGTATGATAATTTATTAACAATGATAGTATAATTTGAGAAAAAAAATTTTTTCGAGAGTACAGTTTAAAATTTTTTATAGTGCTTTTGTTATATTTTAAATATTATATCATACATACATACATATAAGTATTTAAGAAAAAAACAAAATTAATTAGTTTTTTAAAGGAAATTCTTGACACTTAAAATTTATAAAATTTGTATGACATACATGTATGAAACTGTTACCATCCCATTATACATATGTACATGAACAAAGCTAAAATCAAACATAAAACATTTAAAAACCGTTATTTTTGTTTCTTTTATAACAGTTCCTGACTTACTTCATAATTACAGTAATACTTTTATGGTAGGTACTTATAGAAATTAAAGTATATTTGAAAGTGTATTTTTAAAGTTATAATTGAGCCATACCATTTTGTATTGCTGTAATTTTAAAGTTGTCTTACTTTTTAATATTCTTAATTTTAATCTATGTTGGTAATAACTTTAAATTTAACAATATTGAATAAATTACTGCAATAAAATAATGTAATGTAAGAATTTAAGACAACAGTCCCTAAAAATATGCAATTTGAAGGTAATGATATTTTAATTTAAAATAATTATAAAAATTGTGTTCCTTCAACTTTTTACAAATCGCACAAAATTTTTTAATTTCACCTCGTTTTAATTTTCTAAAATTATTTATACAAAACGTATTAATAATATTATTATGTAAATACATAAAATATTATATAAATATAGGTACTACATAATATTTATATTTAATAGATATTTACACATACATATATGCATACTTGAATAAATTAGAATAAAATAATATATAAAGATAAAATTTTTAACTGTACGACGACATTTGGTGGATATTGTACGGATATATACAAAAAGCATCATCACATTTAGAATTTTTGAAATTTTTTTTTTTTTGTTTTTCAAACATTTATTTTCTTTTGTTTTCATTCTGTTTTCATTATAATTGAAATTTTATTTTATTTGTTTGTATCAAAACAAATTTAATTAATCATTAATATTATGAAATTCATATTAAGTTTATTGTAATGAAAAAAAAAATTTGTGTGCAATAAGTTGGTATGACTAATTTCTGACATTACGTAGGTTTACGTAATGCTGACATTACGTATTAAAATATGTATGTATGTGTATGTAATATATATAAATATTTATTCGATTTCATAAATCGGATTCGATATTCAATTTTTTTTTTTTGTATCGAATTTCTTTAATAAAATGTTTATTCTAGCTTTTTTTTCTTATTAAGACATAATTTTTAAATTAACAAAGTTTCATATTTCATTTTCTTAAAAAATAATATTGCAAATATTGAAAAAATTGCAATAAAATCAAATTCTTCTTAAGTTACTCATTTCATATTTAATTGAGAGTTTTTTTTTGTCAATACAATCTTTATTTCTCAATTGACCTTTAAAAATTTGTAGTTTTGCTTGTTATTGTTTTGATTCTCTTCAATTTAAAAATTATAAACCTAAAAAGAGAATAAATTAGAATGAGTACTTATAATGTAAGACGAATGTAATTAATTACTTACTTTAATGAATACTTACTTGTAAGACTGTAAATGTTCCAAAGAATTTGTTTTGATGATTGAATATAAATATTGGATTCTCATATCTAGAAATAAGAAAAAAAATAATGTGGGTCTGTAATTAGTTACTAGTATTTAAAAGTATATATAATAAATTTATTATGTCGCAAATTATAGAATTTTAATTGCAAATAAATTTAAAAATCATTGTATTCTTTTATAAGAAATAAAAGTACTTATTTAAGTAATTTCTTATTTAAATTTAAAAAAATTACCAAATACTTTAACTGTATTTATAGTTACAAATTATACACTCCGAAATTATTTTCAATGTGTTATACAACCGAAAGTATTTTCAAAAATGTTTATGTAATATTGAATTCCATAATGCAGTAATATTATTTTTTAAATTTAATTCAAAAATATTTATAACTAAATTGAATATAGTTGGTAATTTTTATTTTTAAGCTGAATTAAAAGTTAAAATCTGTGATACAGCAGATATGGAATTAAATTTCTCAACGAAGCTTTACAATAGTACAATTAATTTTATAACCTTCTTTCAAAAGTGTCTATTTTTTGTTTTTCTCTCTTTCTGACTGAATAGAAAATATGCTGTGAACAGAAATGTCAAACTTGCTTTGCGACACAATGGATCAATAAACCTTTAAAATTGCGACATTGCGACACAATAGACACATTTAAAGTTTTTAAAAACATTTCTACCATTAAATATTGAGTGCAAATTAGAGTTACTTGCATACAAATAGTTAAATTTTCTTGAAATTATCAAATAAATGTTGAAACATTTTAATTTAAAATTTTGTATCCGTATTATAGCTGGTGTATAACCATAATAATTTTGACGTATAAATATATGTACGTTGGTGGTATCTACAAATACTAATTTGCTTTTTGCGATAATCTCTTTTTTACTTAATGTTTTTTCTTTTTCTCTATTTTTTTTTTAATTTTAAAATAAATTTTCAATTATATTTTTGTTTCTTTTTCTAATTTTTATTATTATTATTTTTCTCTCTCTGAAACGGCTGAACATAAAAATGATCCTGTGTCTTATTTAAAATGAGTTCAGTATTTTTGAGTATTTTTTTTTGGGGTGAATCGTTTTTAATCTACTTTTTTTTTCGTAATTTTTTGACTGTGCTATGTTTTTAACAACAACGTAGAGTTAGAAACTAAGACAGCACGGCGGTGTTCTATTTTTTTTTTATTTTAATTTCTTTTTATTACAATAAAAAAATAATAAAACTATATAACATTTTTTTTTGTATATTTTTACGCTACATAAAATTTTTTATAATATTTTATATTTGATAAGAAAAATTATTTATTATTAAATACATACTTTAGTTTTTTCAATCTTAATATTAAAATTTAAAATATCATTGTGGATTATTATAATTTTAAATAAATTAATTCTAAAAAAATAAAAATTAATAAGTATGAAAAACAAATATTTTGTTAGGCAATAAAAGTGAACAAGACACTCAAAAATGTTTTGAGTTCTTAATAAATATTTTAAAAATTATTTTGATGGGGAAAAAATACATATGTCAAAAATTGTCATATAATTAAGTTTTAAAAAAAATTTATGTACATATTTGAAAAAAAAAAAATTCTTTTAACACTGTTATTTTTAATACGAATCTATTTTTAATTATTAAACAATTAAGCGAGAAACAAAAAAGTAAAGAGAGAACAGTGTGAAAGATAGACAGGTTTTTCATAGTTAGCCATCTGTTGTGACGTACTAGAACCATTTGTTATTATTTTTATTTTAAGAAAAATTCTATAAAAAAAAAACAAAAAATAAAAATCTAAAAATAGTAAAAAAAGAAAAAAAAATCACAATAAGAGAAAAAGTACTTGATTTTTTTTGATTTTTGAACACCGGTGTAAAATTTTTTTTTTGGTGTCACTTCAACATTTACAAACATATTTTTAGTATATTTTAAATAATTAATTCGACTTGTTTGATAAAAGATATTTTAATTAATTTTTTTTTATTTTTCTTTCTTCATTTGTAGTTGCTGCCAGTTAATTATAACAATAGAGAAATAACATAAATGTAACAGTAAAAGCCGAAACAAAACGAAGTGGAAACTAAATGCAAATTAAGGAAACCTGTGTTTCAGCATTGCTTTACAATTAAATAGCTTACATTACAATAATTCACTAACACCAATCAACAAGTGAAAAGCTCCTACACAACTATAAAATATAAAAATCAACAATAATATAATAAACATATCCAATTTACAGCATTCAAAAATTTACATTTGGTGCATTTACAGTTTAAAATTAAAATAATAAAGGGGGTGCATTAAAACATACAATAGACAGAACGAAAACGTTGAGAACGAATTTTATTTCGTATTTGCAATAAAAAATCAAACAATATTTAGCTGGCAAAGCAATTTTGTTTTATGAAATTTTAGCTCTTGTACATAACCTAGTAATAAACAATAAGGGCCACCAACAAAAAAGAAAAAAAACGAAAAGAAACGAAACAAAAAACAAAAACCTTTTATATCAATAAAAACAAGAGAGAATGCAAAAAATAATACTCATTATAATTATATAGGTATAGGAGTAAATTTTGTTAACATACAAACCAACAAACAACAATAATTGGAACAAAAAAGGGAACATTGTGGATTTTCATTTCATATACTTCATAGTTAATCGAAATAATTGGGCTATATAGGTCAGAAAAAAATAAATTTTGTTTTGTACATACCGCATGAACACGCATCATTCAACCAACAATATTAATTTTTTCTTTTGTTTTGGAGCTTTAAATTAAAATTGAAATTTAAAATTAAATTTTTTATATGAGGTGCATTTAATATTTCAAATGGTGAATTTAAATGAAATTATAATTAAAATAAAACATCATAAAAATAACGAAAATATTGTTACGAATATAACATAAATTAATCATAATAGAACAGTATATAGGATTTGTAGTGCAGCGCGAAAAAGAAACAAGAGGAAGGAGAACAAATTTTCAATAAAAATGGATGACTTTGATATTGAGGAAATTTTTGATAGATCACATCAGAATACAAATTGGTTATTACCATCATTTGATCAACAAGGTATTTATTAATGAATTGTTTTGCATTTTTGAATTATTTTTTAAAAATTATTTTTATAAGAAATTCAAATTTGCTCAGTATTTTTTTTATTGCGGTAATAAAATGAGGCCGGTAACACTTATTTATTATTTGAAAAAAAAAATATTATTCCCATAGATGGCGTTAAAATATTTGTTGAAATAATAATTTTAAATCAACTTTTCAATAGAAATATTTTAAATAAAATCGAAATTCGAAAATTTTCAAATTCATCAAGTATTAATAAGAATACTAATAAGATTAATAATCCAAAAATTTTCTATTTTATTCCATAATTTATTATACTAAAAGTATTTTTACGTTTTTTGATAAATTTTAGATGCCATTTATTTGTCATCATCACGGCAAATGCTGGAACCAATTATGGAAGAAACCTCTGAAGATGAAGAAAGTTCAAGTCAAAGTTATAATCAGTATGAAAATAGCGCTTGGAGTTCAGAATCTGAAACTGGATCTGTGATTAGAATCGAATTAACTAATGGTAATTATAAAATATAACAATTTAAAATAAAAACAAAAAAAAAAGCATTTTCTAATATTTCACATTATATTTTAGATCAAGATTCGATATCAGAGAGAGGATTAGCTTGCCCGGCAAAACGTGCTAGACGTGATCTCGACTTAAATTTGTTACTTAATTCATCACCATCATCACAAAATCATAATGAATTTATGCAATCACAATTACCATTATCAAAATTACCGCCACCAGTATCTACGAAGAATATTTTAAATAATAATAATAATAATAATAATAATAGCTTTAATAATCCTAATAGTTTAAGTACGAATACGAACTTATCATCGATATCTGCATCAAATAATAATTATCATAATTCCTATACGATAAGTGGTCTTATTGATAGTCCACAAAATATACGAAAATTTCAATCACGAAATATTAATAGTACTAATAATAATAATAATAATAGCGATTCTTTAGCCATAGGATCTTTATTGGATTCACCGATTGCTGACTTGCCAATTTTTCGTAAACGTTTTGATGATTTTAATATATATTCTGATTCAGATAGTTTATCATATAATTCATTATCAAGATCATCATCTTTAATACAATTTGAATCACTGGAACGTCAATTACAAAATGATTTATCATCTTCATCAGTTGGTTCATCACCATCATTATTAAGTTTCGATGCAACAACTGAAAATTCAAATAATAATTTAAATTATAGAGGATCAAATGGAAGTTTAAAACGTTTTGAAAGTAGTGATAGTAGATTACATCAAACATATTATGATTTAGATAAAATAGATTTTGATAAAAATACACCAAGTATATTATTTAGAACAAGTCGAGCTTTAAGTGAGGAACGACATTCAAAAAGTGATTCAGAATCATCAAGTGATAATAGTATTTTATCACATGAAGAACGTATTTTAGCTAGACCAACAAGTTCACTAAATCAAACACCAACTCATTGTTTAGATTCAATTACAAGACGTAATAGTAGTGTTAGTGGTAGTAGTAGAACAAAAAGTTCAGCTGAAAATTTATCAGAAGATAGCGGTTATTGTGAACATTATCAACCATTACGAACAAAATCAAAAAGTATACCGAATTTTGAAAAATTCTGTGAAGAAGATGAATTTGAAAATCATAAAAGTTTAGAGAATATACGTTATAATCCGCTACCATCAAGACGAAGTAGTGATAGTTCAACAAATAGCGATGATGAACATATGAAACATTCCATAAAAGAAGATACGGAAATTTTACAAAATCAAATGCAATTTAATAATGATGATGATTTTGATAACAATAAAAAGCAAGGCGCCATTTATATTAATAAAAATAATGATGGCAACAATAAAGATAAAAATAATAAATTAATTTCATCAAAAATTACAATTACAACAACAACTACAACAACAACATCAACAATTCCGGAGAAATATTCAACAATATCAGCATTATCGATATCATCACTATCACCAATTTCACCGTCTAGTATAACATCATCATTATCTTCATCGTCATCATCACCAACATCATCATGTGATGAAGATTATTGTACACAAAAATCCGTTATTACATTAAAAGTGCCAACAACATCAACATCAGCAACAACTACAACAACAACAATAACAAAATATAAAACAAATAATAATAATAAACAACAAAAATCAAATATTTTTACAAATCTTGCAAATGATGGTTTTGCAAATTGCAACAGCAACAATAATATTAATAATAATCATCAGAAAATTCAACGAAATAATAAAAATAAAAATAATAATGATGATGATGTAGTTGATGATTTTAATAATGAAAAAAATACGCTTGCGCTACGAGAAAATAATTCTAAATCATCTACTCAATCAGCTCAATTAAATAAAATCGAATTGAAATACGCATGTCCACAAAATACTCATAATAATAATAAAAGCAACAATAATAAAAATCATAATAATATAAATGAAGAAATATCAACAGCATATTCAGCTATTGGAATAAAACCAATTTCTTCATTAATATCAAAATCACAATCATCGTCATCATATTATACATCATCACCATTAACAACAGTATCACCATCAACAATATCACAATCAATATCAATTATTAAAAAAGATTCTATTCTAAATACATCACCTCTGAATTCATATTTTCCAACAATATCATCCAGTTTACCAGATGTTCGTGGCGAGGAGTATTCATTTAATATTAATGAAGAAGAAAAAATAAATAAAGAATTCAAATACGATCCTAATTTAAATCGTCATCAAAATAACAATAATAAAAATAATAATAATTTTAGAATTGAAACAAAAAATTTAAATAATTCTAATCAAATATATTCTAAAAATTATTCTAATAATAGTAACAATAACAGTAATAATAGTGATACAAATAATTCTAATTATAATAAATACAATAATAATAATAATAACAATAATTATTGTAAATCGAATATATCGAAAAAAAATAATAATAAATGTAAAAATGAATCGATTGCAACACAAAATAAAATATTTCGTATAGATTGTATTAGTCCTGAACCGATTATTAATGATTATGATACAATTATTATACAATATAGTAAATCACAAAATTTAATTGATAATAATAATTATAATAATAGTAATTTATTATTTGGTCAGAAAAGTTTAAGTTACGATCAATTGGATAAATGTTATACAAAAGAATTTGATTGCGGAAATGAGAATTTATTGTTAGGTGAGAAAAATTTTATAATATAAAATTAATTGCACTTGTATAATTAATTCTGAGAGAGAGAGGGAAAAAAAGACATTTTTAAATAATTTAAGAATTTTCTCTCCCATTTTTATAATTTTTTTTTTTTGTAGTCTTAATAACTTTTTGTTTATTTGTGCAAAAAATTTTTTTAAATGCAAATTAATTTTTTTTTCTCTGTGAATTTTTTTACAAAATGGCTGGAATATTGAACATTTTTTTTCTTGTTTCTAATTATAAATGAAATTGAAATGCAAAATTTCAGCCGGTGAAATTGCATTTTGATATTCTCAAATTAAGAAAAATTTTTTTTGTTTTTTCTTGCAAAATGAAAGAAAACTTACAAAATTCGATATTGACCTATTCTTAAAATTTAAAACAGAAAGCAAAACAACGAAATTATTTTAAATATTTTTTTAAATTTAATAAAGAATTTTTGTTTTCTCATTTCTTTTATTTTTCAAAAATATTGAAAAAAAGAAATTCAAATTATTTTTTTTTTAATTTTTAATTTCCTTTTTTTTCCTTGATTTTTAAATATGAATTTTTAATATTAAAAGAAAATTTTTTGCGGAGGAAAGTAAAAAAGAAAAAGAGAAAATTTTTTAAGTAATTTAAATTTTTTTTTTATTCTTATATTTTTTCTTTGTATCTGTTTATGAAAATTTTATTGGAAATTTTCCAAAAATTTTCAAATTTTTTTCTTGTTTTTTTGAAAACTTAATAAAAATTACGCCATTTCAGCAAGTTGTGATTTTGTATTTTTTTTTTCTATTCTAATTTTTGTGTATATTTTTATTTATTTTGTATAATTGTGGAAATTAAAGTGTGTTTTCTGTTTAATTTTTCAATAATTTTTAAATAATGTTTAAATAATTGCAAAAAACACAAAATAGTAAAGAAATTAATGAAAAAAATTCAATGTATTTATTCTCTTCCTCATTAACAAAAAAAAAATTTCAAATTAAAAATAAAAATATTTTAAAATTATAAAAATCAAATCAAATTATTAAAATTTTCATTCATAATTTGTTAATAATATAAATGTGGGAGAGAAAAATATATTTTGATTTTTAGAAGTTTTTTCGAATTGAAAAAGAAATTTCAGAATTTTTTTTATTAATTTTTGCAATTATTTTTCTGTTAAAAAGGCTTATAATTATAAAAGTGTAAAAATTAAACGAGAAATGTGAGAAAAATTTTGTTCTACATCTATTTTTCTTAAAACATTTCATAATTATAATTCTTATAATTATTTATAATTATATCTAACTAGTTTTTTAGTAGAAATTTATAAGTGGTAGTGGACCTAAGTCCATTTGCAATTTCAAAACTTTTCTATCTAATAATATTGTCAATAGTTGCCACAATTTTAAAAAATTAGTTTAAAACAATTAATTAATTTAATTTTAGTATTTAATTTACATAATATCACAATTAAGTGTTTAAATTTTTGTAATTTTAGATCGATCCATAATCATTTGTTATGTTTAATTAAAAATTTGAACGTAATTGTAGTTTTAACAATATACTTTCTTTAATATATTTGAATATTTCTAAAATTAATTATGAAAATTATACTTGTTGAAATGATTAGATTATTACTTTCAAAACTAATTAGAAATTTCAAAATTTTCAAGCTATTCAAATAAATTAAGTAAAATTAATGTAAATTTTATAGAAAATTTCAATTTCATTTGAAAAAAAAAAATTTGAAAATTCATTTATGCTAGGCTTCAAATAAATTTCAAAACCGAAATTCTAATTGAAATCTTAAATCTTAATAATTTACGCAATAATTTTCTAAATTTCAAATCTGTCAAGCTTAACTATTATAATAAATTATTGTTTTAGTTGGAAAATTTGATACATAGTTATTTTAATATAGATTTATATATGTACATGCCCTCAAATATTATTAAATTTGGAGCTAATTCCAAATTTATAAATGCATTTTAAATTTTCATAAATTTTATAAAAATTTCAAACATATGGTAACTTTATTTTGGCAAATAATCGTAATTTAGTAAATTGGCGTTTTACTTTAATTTTTTTTCTGCAACACCTGATACTTTAATAATTTTCGAATGAACATTAATTTGGCATCGTTCGGTATTCTAAAAAAGAAAGAAAAACGAAATTTTTTATGTTTGTGTGTATGTTAAAGTAATTTTGTATTTTAATTTAATTTCTAAAATTAGAATTTATTACATTGTTTATATAAGAATTTTCTTTCATGTTTTAAAATTTACTTGTAATGATTTTTTTTCGGCCAAAAAAAGTAGAAACAGAGAAAGTTTAAATCTATCTGACCTTCAATTACGATATTGACTTTTTACCTTCTTTCTGATCATTATCAAAACGCAAATTTAAATTTGGAAAAACAAAAAGACAAAGATTTTGTACAAATTAAAAGAAGCAAAAATTATTATTTTAAAATTTAGAAAAGGAAATGCCTTTAAAAATAAGTTTGACATCAAGAATCAAAGCCTAATTAACCTAAATTTTTTGTAATGGGATGTTAATGTGAGTTAGAGTGTCTACTAAACCACTGCAGTTCTAACGTCAAATTGACTTATTTAGTAATTAAAACCGTATTGCTCAATAAGTCAAGATGATGCTAGTTTTGCATTTTGGTAGACGCCCTTAGATCGATTCGGTTCTGAATCAATCATATAGGCTTTTATGTGAAATTAACTTGATTTGCCCTTATTTCATGCGATATAATTGCAGAAAATCATGTTATTTAAAATTTTTTCAATTAAAAAAAATGAAATTATTTAAAAAAAAAATTATTTATAATCAAAATATTTTCTCACATTTCCATTTTTCGACTCAAAATACGTCATTTTGCTGTCTAGCCTAAATTGTTTTTAGAATTTTATTATTAATGAACAAAAAATTGAAGTCAAAATATTATTTAATTTACAATAATTCACATAGTGTCATTAGTCACTTTTAATTCATAATGAAAATAAAATGTGATATGAAAGGGGACTTTTTTTAATATGAATAAATATTTTCTGAGTAATTTACAATAAAAGAAAATTCGATTTATCCTTGTGTATCCCACATTTTAATTAAATGATCATTGAAAGACGTTTTCGATAAACAAGTGATTTGTTTCGCTCTATTTTTATTAATTAATTTTTTTTTTCGTTTGTATAACGTTAACAACTCTTTTTGATGAGGCCTTGTATTTTTTATGACACATTTTTTTTTTCGTCATTTTTCATTTTAATAATAAATTATAAATTTTATGGTTATTTAGAAAAAATTTACCTAAAATAAAATATAAAATAAATTTTTTTTTGAAAATCTTAAACCCAATGACGTAAAATATTCAATAATTTTCAATTAGAAAATTATATTTTAGAATAGAAACTTTTTTTTTAATTCTTAATAGAAACAGAAATATTTTTTTAACTAAATTTAAAGAAAAAATAAAATCATCTGTTTAAATTAAATTACTTAAAAATTATAAAAGTCCTAAAAATTATAAATTTGAATTAATCTAAAATTAGCAATAGAGAATCTATTATTTTTAGAAGTTATTTTAAGAAATTTAATTTTAAATTTTGCTAAAATTGAATTTCAATTGCAATTTCTAAAATATAATATGCTTATATACTCGTACATATATAGAACGTTAACAATAAATAATTATGGCATTTTATTGCGCCACTTGAATGAAATCTGGTTAAATTGTTAAGATCATTCAAAATAAATTAGGAAGGAAATAGGAGGTCTGTGCATTTTTACATATCGCATATATTTACTGCCATAGTCACATAATATATTAATCCTTTCATTTGGAAGTAATCGGATTCATAAATCTTAAAAGTCGATTTTCTAAAATGTGCAAATTAGTTCAGCAGCGCAAACAAGCGATATTGATTTTATTTAATATTTTTCAAATTATTGTAAGCTCCGCTCCATTCAATTTAATTCCACATTCCTTTCTGCTTTCTAAATTTTCCTTAGGAGCTATTTGAAAATATCTATTAGCTATGATTTAATCAAAAACCTGTTCTAGTTCTAATAATTTTCATAGCAATTCAACTATTTTTGATACAACGGATCAAAAATAGTTGAATTGTATAATTATCGCCGGATATATAATTTCGACGTTTGAATGTGATAATTGTCCAATCAAATTTATTCTTATATGACTAGAATCATTACAGCGTGAATTTTGCACAATAAATTCATAAATAGCTTGCATTTTAAGTCTCTTCTCGAAATTCATCTGAAAAACTCCAAATTGATTAGAAAAAATTCTTTTTACTTTTAATAATTTGTACATAAAATGGAAAATCTCATTTCAAAAGCAATAAATTTCATTTATTTTTTCTAAAATTTATGCATTTAATCTTTTTGTGTTGTACTTGTTAAATATCAAATAAAATGTTTAAATTTTAGAATTTTTGCATAAACATTTCTTTGGAAAAAAAAATATGTATGTATATTTTGTAATTTTGTTTTGTTTTAAATTAAAATTTATAATTTTTTAATTGTTTATAATTAACGTGGAAATAAGAAAAAATAAACAGATTAAAAATAAAACTAAAAATAATAAATTCAATATGATACAAAAGTTTTCTTCTATACGCAAACACAATAAAGCGAATTTTAATTTTTCTGATCTGTTTTTTAGTCTTAAATTTGTTTACAATTTATTTACTCAAGATTAACAAAATAGGTCGGTCGGATGAAAATAAAATTATTAAAATATTTAAGAAAATCTAATAATTTACAAGTAGGTTTTAATTTAAACAAGTGAGCTACATGTAAAGTAGGTTACTGCTTTTTCAATTTGGAAATCTCTTTCTCGTTTAATTCAGCCATTTTTTTGTAAATTTTCACTAAAAAGAATAAAAATTTTTCATAAATTAATTTATTATTAATGATCTTACAAAAATATTAAAACTAATAGTTATTTTAAATTTTTTCATCCAAACAGATGACAAGTACTTAACTGAAAGATCAAGTGTACCAAAGGATTTAAATTTACTTGGTAGTGATATTAAACTTTATTCAGATAGTGACATTTACTCGCATAAAAAAAATATAAATAAATATTATTGTAACAATAATAATAAAATTGATGAAAGTCACAATAAAACTGCCGTCATAAAAGAATCATCGCAACAACAATCATCAAAACAATTTTTCTTACATCATCAACAGAGTAGTAGTGGTTATGAAAGTCTTGCAAATTGTAGTGAAGATAGCAACTGTTACGGTAATAATAGCTTTTATAGTGATAACGATAATTTTGATGTCAGTGAATTATCATTTTCATGGAATGATACTACTGTCATAAAGAGGGGAAATAATAGTGCCAATGAAAAGAGAGCGATATATGCTAATAGTAATCAATGTTATAACAACGATAATAATAATACTGGCGTAATATTAAGAAATAAAAATAAACAACAGCAACAATTGAAACGATATAGTGGTGAATATAGTAATTTTACTGGCAATAGTAAATCATATAACAGTGGTTTAAATTATATGAATGCAAGTTATCAAGATTTAACACTATTAGATTATTCAGGTAAAAATTTCAATAGTAGTCCAACAATGGACGGTTCAAATTTAAAAAGAAGTTCAAGGGAAATTATTACTGGAAAAAGAAATTCATATAATGATAGTGGTAATGAAACAGCTAAAGGAAATTATTTGTTAGATGAAATTTCTGAAAATTTTGATAAAAATTTATCTATATTATCAGATCGAAATGTTGATAGTGATAAATTAAAAGATTTTCTGGATGCAGAAAAAATTTCATTTGAAGAAAAACCATGTCCACCAATTCGGCATAAACAATTAAAAGATGTAAAAAATGAAAATTTACAAGCAGAACCAAGTCGACCACCAATTAAAAAACCACCAAGAAGAAATTTAAAATCACATCAAAATAATCAGCAATTTAAACAACCAAAAACTTTTGATGTAGATCCATCTATTATGAAAACATCATATGCTGAAAGTTTGGAACGTTGTAATTTTGATCCTAAAGAAATTTCAACACAAGATCTTACAGAAGCAATTAAAAAAGCATCACATCCAATTCATTCGACTCCAATTAAACGTGGTTTCGTTTCAAGTACACCTAACTTACATACGTTTAAAGTTGATAAAGTTACCGAAGATTTTGATGATCTTAAAATATCATCAGCATCGAATTCAATGCAAAGACTTCCACAAGATAAAAAATTGGGTATTCTTGTGCCATCAGGTTCTAAACAATCTTTAGGTAAAAGTGTTAATTTTTCTCCTGTTGTTGCTGAATATAGTTTTCGTGATCGTTCTGGATCTGGTTCATATGATCCTGATTCACTCGAAGAAATCACTGATTCAATAGTTTTGGCTAATACTGTAGCTAATGAAAAATATAGTAATGGTATTAGTAATGTTGATGTTGTTGATTCAAATAGTATTGGTTGGAATAAAAAAGTTCTCAGAGAGACAAATTTCGAATGGAATGCATCTGCTGAAGAACAAAAATTACCATCATCTGCAAATGATTATCACAATAATGATCATCAACAACAAAACAAAAACATGGAGAAACCACAAAAAGTGATCGCAACAATAATAAATAATAAAAATAATAGCAATAGTAATACTATCATTACTACATCTACTACAACTACAACAACAACAATACCACAACAAGCTACAAATAATAATAATAGCAGCAAAACGATTGTTCTAAATAATAATGGAACGTGTACTGAACAACATTTTCAAACTAGTTTCAGTAAGAAAACGAATGCGAATGAAGCAAGTAATAGTAATGAGAGTGCTAATGTTATTAATAATATAAATAACGGTAACGAAATCAATACGGTGAATTTAAAGAAAAATAATAATAAAAATTTAATTGATAAAAGTGATTTTGGTGAAAAAAATATTGAAAATAATAAAAATAAAAGCTCCAATAATATTAAAAATAGTAATAATAAATTACAACAACAGCAACAGTTAAAAGAAAATATCAATGATAATTTAATTAATAAAATAAAAATGGAGCAACAAAATAATGTGAATATAATTAATTTACCATCAATTCAAAATGGTATTAATTTCAATGAAGATCATAATATTGAAAATAATATTAAAAATGTAACAAAAAATTTAATACAAAGTGAAAAAATAACTAATAATAATACCTATAATTATAATGGTACCAAAAATGGTACTGCCAATAATAATCATAATAATAACAATAATACTACAGTGACAACAGTAACAACAACAAAAGTAATAACAACACCAACTAAGAAAATTCAAAATTCATCGAAATCAAATAAAACTTATAGTTCTGCTGGTAATTCACCACAATCTATTAAACCGGAATATACTCAAAGTCCACACCTAGCAACTACAGTACCATTGAATCCTGCACATAGTAATGAATTATTGAATACAACTAAATATAAAGGAAAATCTGAGGATAAAAATAAATCATTTTTATCAAGATTTGCTGGTAATTTTAGATTTTCATTGAGACGTAAACCTAAAAAAACCTTACCGAATGAGCCAATGCCAACATCTGTAACAGAACAACAACAAACTTTTGTTAAAAATAATCGTAATATATTTGGTGGTTCAAAAAAGAAATCAATTGCTGATGGTGCTGTTAAATCAAAATCAAATTCATCTACAAAATCAGCATCGAATTCTCGTGATTCACGTGAATCACCTGATTTCATTTATATTCCATTAAAGGGACCAATTCCATCACATCAAAATAATCAAATAAATATAAATGATTCTGGTAACAGTAATAATATTATTCAAAAAGAACAAGAAGACCAGCAACAACAACAACAACAACAACAACAGCAATTACAACAAAATGGTCATAATGGTATTATTGAAAATACAAACCACATGTTGAATCAGGTGACTGGTAAACCACCTTTACCAAAACAACCACCTCGTGTTATTATTGGTGAAAAAGGTATTATACATCACCAACAGTATCAACAACAGCAACAACAATATCAAAATAATAACAATAACAGTAATAATAATAATATGAGTACTGAAGATAAATTACTATCAATGCAATATAATCAACAGTGCGCAGGACAAAATAATGCGCAATACAACGGCGAATTTAATAATATTATACGTGAAAAACGTTCTAAATCACAACCAAGAGATGGTGATACATCATATTTAATAAATGTTGGTAACAATCTTGGTAAATTTTTAGACAATGAACGTTATTTTTATTCAAGTGATTATCAGTTTGATGAGACTATGAACGGTAACGGTTCGTATAATAACAATAGTAATAATAATAATATAAATAAAATGAATATCGGCGGTGGCGGCGGTAACGGTGGCATACAAATGCAAAACGGTTGCAATAAATTACCGCAACAAAACGGTACAAATAATATTATAAAAAATAATTATGATGGTAATTTTAATAATGATTATGTACCCCCACCAACACAATTTACAGATGAAAAACCACCAAGTGGTAAAGTACGTAAAAGTTCTAGTTCTGGTGCCGGTACAAAAACTGGTGGTGGTGGTGGTGGTGGCGTTAGTGGCGGTAATGTTGGTTGTGTTACAAATAATAAAAATAAAATCGGTTTAATTGAAACAAATTTGGATACACATGAAACTGTTATATCGGGTAAGACACAAAGTCTTATGGAATTAGGACCAAATCATAGCACAAGGAATTATAAAAATGCAAATATATTAAGACAACAGAATGATCGTATTGATGACGATGATGATGATGATGTTGAAGGAAATAATCATCATCACGGTAGTATTAGAAGACCACATAAATCAATGGAATTTTTATTGGATAAAGAAAATCAAAAAAATGCTGCGGTAAGTAAAAAGAAGAATAAATAGAAAATGAAAAAATATAAAAAAAGTTTAAATATTAAAGGTTTTTTAAAATGAAAATTATGAGAAATAATAAATATATACCTACTTAATATTAGAATTCTTTTAGAATTAATTAAAAAAATTATAAGTGAAAAGTAAATAAATATAATTGAAAAATATGTTTAGAAAAAGAGGAGACAGAAAATTTTTTATTGAAATCGTTGGAATTAAAGAAAAATCAATTTTTATATTGAAAGTTTATTATTTAAAGTAGATAAAAATTGCATTAAAAAATTTATTTGAATAAAATTTCAGAGTAAATTTACAAAGTACCTAATTAATTTATAAACTAATTTAAAAACAAATTATCTTATTACTTTTTTTGTAGTCCTCAAGTACTGAATAAGAAATTGAATATTTCCATTAAGAAAGAAGAAAACAATGAATTCGAAAATAAAAGCTTGGTATTCGAGAATATTTTGAAGTCAAGATGTCTTATGATAATATTTTTGTAAAAAAAAAAATAAAGAGACGGGTCCTGCTCTTATTGCTTTGATTTGAAGTTAATCAAATTATTATTAACCACTATAAGATCTAATTTCCGAGAAATAAATGTGAAGAGAAAGAGTTTCTCTTAATTACAGATGTCCACATTATGTTTTATCAACATTTTTAATGAACACACTAAATATTTCTTATGTAATATTTAAATAGCATTTTATAACTAAATGACTACTATATTCATTTTGAAAAAATGTTTTTCATAAATCTAAAATCATAAAGAACTTAATAATAACTTTGATTATATTCTAAATTTTTGAAATATACAATTATTATTTTTTTTTTTTTTGTAAACATTAAATTGTGTTCGCAAAACGCTTTTTCAATACTAACGAATTTTATAACCAGAATAAAAAGAATTTTTTATATTCAAATATAAAATAGTTAAGTATTTTCTTTATTTTATGGTAAAAAATTGAAATTGATTCAAAAGTTATAAAAGAGAAATTTATATATTGATTTTGTAAGTATAAAATAATATGCTTTTAGAAAAAACACAATATTATTTTTATAACCTTGAATTTACGATCCAATATATATAAATTTATAGTATCTATACTTAGGACCGTTTAATATTTATACTTAATTTTAAATAAGCTCTACATATTATATACTTTATATGCAAGAATGTAGTTAATATTAACAGTCTAAGCAGTTAGACAGACATAAGGTATTATTTGATTCTGTTTTTATAAAAAAAATACTAAATTATAATAATATCAATTTGAATTTTTGGGCTAGATTTACAATACTTATTGCTTATTGTATTACTATAATTCAAATATTAAATTTATTTCAAAAATTTAAATTGTGTAAATAATTACTCTTATAATTATTTTAAGAAAATAACTAATAATTATGACCATTTTTATAATAATAAGACAGAAGAAAATGTAAAACAAAAACTAAACAAAATTTTAAGACGCTGTATGTATTCAATATTGAGGCAGCCTAAACTCTTTGTAATCGATCGATTTTTTAAATGTTTTTAGAATGTTTGCAATTCAATCATTAGTTCTATTTAAATGTAATTTGAGTTAAAGTAAAAAAATAGGTCTATATGAACTATATGATTATAAAATAGACCTTTTGACCATTTAACATTCTTTTTATTGTATAATTTCTTGATTTCTCATTTTTATAACATTATTTTCGGAACGAAATCATATTGAATAATACGACATAGGAAATATTTTTATGAAAATCATTGAATATTTTATGGAATAATAGAATAGATACAGGGGACAGATTTGGAGATAATTTAATTGAATTTTGTACTTGAATACAAATAAAAAATTTTTGCAAACAAATATAATACCATACAATATCAATAAAAATGTCCTCTAAACAATTTAAAATATAAAAATGGAAAAACAAAAACAAATTTGCTTATACATTTTGTTATAATAAATTGCTAGAAATCTGTTTTATTTTTCAAGTTCATTTAATAAAAAAAAAAATCAGAATGTATCATTTCCAAAAATAAGATATTTTTTATTCTATAAAATCTAAACAAAAGACAAAATATCCAAAAATAACAAAAATAAATTTAATATAAAAATTTATAAAATTTATTTGCATATATAAAATTTCTATATAAAAACGTTTATGATTTTTGCATTTTTGAATACTCAGTGAACCTGAAAAATATACAAATTTATACATACATTTTTAAAAATATTATTATATTTTAATGGTAAACAAACATTTTATTATTAAAAAAAAAAAAAACCTTATTTAAAAAACATGAGAACCACTGAAATTTGTCATTTTTCTAAAATTAATTATCTTGTTGTTAAAGAAGAGAGAAAATGCGTCCGTCCTACCCATAATATAAAACAAAAAAAAAACAAACTACAATATTAAATTTATATGTATATACAAAATATTAAAAGAAATGAAAAATTAAATGAAAATTTAGTAAAAAAAAAAAACTTGAAAAGAAAATTTTCAATATAAAATATAAGAAAAAAAAAACAAACAAAACGTGAATGAAAATAAAACTAACCTTGAAAATTATTATAATTTATTTAAAAAATAATTTTTTATTTTCCAAAAAAAATTAAGTATGTGGAGCTCATATTATAAATTCATTTTTAGTCAATCTTAAAAAAGAAAATTTTTTAAATTTTTTTTTCATTCTATCAAATCACGCGATTTTCATAAAAAGCTATCGAAATGATAAAAAGGACATTTATTATTTATTAGTACCATAAAATGTTTTATTAAGAATATTTTAAGCAGTGTTTTCTAAACTATTTCAATATTAGGTAGTTTTATTGGTAATTTCAATTCTAATATAACTTCTAATTGTAGTAATAATTTGACTAATAAGTTCTAATTTGTAGCACGTTCGAAAATTGTACGCGCTGCTCCTCATACAGAAAGTTCAGGGAACTCATTTGTGTAATAAAGAAATTTCAGAAATATAGCGTAGATATTTAATTTAAATTTTTTCGCTGCCGCTTTTAAAAATTTCAAAATTTTAATTTTTTAATAACAACTTAATTTTATTTAGAAGTTCTAAGAATTAAATAAACTATGTATATTCAAAAAGTTTCGGATATACTGGGCTATTACATCATTCCCAGTATATACATATAATATATAAAATATAAACTAACTAAAGCCAGTGAGGAATTAGATATGAATAGAATGTGTTATAATAAATCGCATTATATAATATACTTAATATTATAAATCTCAAATATATATATAGGAATGTTGTAATGCGAAAATATTTTAATTTATTGATACAAATCGCTTTTAATAAGAAGAGAGGCAGGAGCAAATTAAAATTTTATTTTTTTCAAAATTGAGAATGAAATTAGTAGGAAAATTTTTTTAATATTTATCATAGTCGATTTTACAATACTTTTTGTTACGTAAATAAGCACTTATATTATGAATTTAATAACAATTTTGCATTGATTTTAAATATTTAATTGTTCATATGAAGACTACCAGGCTACTTATTCTAAATTATTAAAGATATTTTTGAAAATTTTATTAAATTAGCAATACCATCATGTCGTTATAATATAATACTGTCAGTTTCTAAATATAATCGTCCGATACTTAAAGGGGAAGGTTATTATAATAATAAGAAGAATACTTAATAAAAAGTAAGTACTTAATAAATCTGGGGGCTTTGCTTTCACGACGGAGTTGTGGTCTTCTGGACCTCACAATCTGCTTGAATTCATCATCAGGAGTGTGGGTCTCGAGAGCGTGTTGTATGGAACGCCCCACACTCAGGGGGGGGGGGGGGGGGGGGGGGGTATAATAGGTCACCGTGTGCTGTGGCTTTCGCTGTACAAATCTACAAATGTACAAAATCAAAACTATAACATACAAATTCAAATCTAGTTATGGATTAATTTTTTAAAAATTTAATATACGAGAACAATTTCTTCTATAATTATATTAATAATTTAATATTAAAATAGAAAATTGAATGTAATTTTTAACCTGAATAAATTTCTTAAAAGCTATTGTTCGCAATATACTATTCTATGTAGTTATACATTTTTACAATTATGTAATCTTTATGAATACAAAATAACATAAAAAAAAAAGAATCAGTTCAAATATACGAGTATTATAGATAAGTAGTCAACCTGAGTTCATAATATTCTTACCTTTGAAAATATTATTTTGTTTTAAGCTCTTATCATAGTTTTATTTTATTTTTTTTTTGAAGAATATTTAACATTCCTTACAGACATTTTTATGACTCTTAACTTTTACACAGGCTATTGTATTTATTTACATATTTGTATGCACATATACGAATATAAGTATATAAGTTAAGTAGTTTCTTGTTTTTATTCTTTTTTAACTTGTTAGACTAGTTTTTCTTTTGTCTATTGTATTCGTCGCATATTTTTATTTATTTATGATTTAATTCGAGTACAATATTGATAATATATTTATATTTTGAAATTAGAAAAAAAAAGAAGAATTTTAAAGGTAGGACCTGTTTTGTTTTTAGTTCTAATTGAAAAATTTAAACTTATCAGTTCCTCCAAATAGCTTAAGCTAATCAAAATACAATTTAAAGTTGAATTCCTCAATGATTTGGTAGTGTTTTTACAACTATTTTTTCTACATTATAGAAAAATTTAGCTTTACGCTTGTAATTATTCGACAAATTGGCAAGGTAATGGGCAAAAAATTTAAAGAAAGTAATTCAAAATCTTAATATCTCAATATTTTTAGTTAAATTTATTAAAATTTGTTTTGGAATTAGGATTATATTGCTATTTTAGAGTTAAATAAAATTTTATTAGCTAAATGTGATCTAAGAAATTGTGCTAAGGAAAAATATTTAGTTTTTCGTTAAAGCGATAATCTAAGGTGCTTCATTCTGGCAATGATTTGAAAAAAAAAAATAACAAATGTATTTTAAATTAAAAGTCTATTTATTTGTTTTAAATGCTCAATTTTGTGAAATTTTGTTAAAAAATACACTTAATTTTGAGCTAATAAAAGGCAGGCTCACACTATATTTTTATATAATGAAAAAATTACTAAAATTTTAAGTCAATCACCTAAATTTCTCCTTTTGTAACAAGAATTTAAAAGTCATAACTTTTTTATAAGATAAAGCGGAACCTACACATTTCTTTTATACATTTAATGAGTAAATTTTATTTCTATTCTTCTCTAGGGTCACATTAAATCCTTAGGGAACAAACATTTTTCTATACATATATATATACATATATATCTAAAACAGACAATAATATTTTGTTAAAAAAAGCAAAGAAAAAAGAAACTCTTTTTCATATTTCATTCATTTTTATCCATTCATACGAGTACAATAAAGTAAGGGAGACAATAAACAGAAGATCTACCGTATCTCATTCGTTTTATATATTTTTTTATATAATATGTGCATAAGGTGAATGAATAGTATAAAAACTATTTAGAATGAATTCTTTGTAGAGTTTGTAGGTATCTAAAATATTTTTCATAGATGATAATTTTTGGAGCACAGCATGTGATTTCCTCTTATTTTTTTTGGAAAAAATATTTCAGTTTTACTTATTAGTTTTTCTTAAAGCCATTTTGTGTCAAAAATCACAAGAATTTTTTTTTGGTTCAAGAAAATTTAAAAAATGAAATAGGGTTAAAAATTTCATGCAGGTCCTTTTTTGTTATATAAATTATTTATTTTATATTGACTTCACACTCTACGTATACAGTTGCTTTGACCATTGATAAAGAGAAATTCTGACTTATGATTTAGGTTCATCTAAATTATTTTTAAGGTAATTGTATAGTGTGATATGATATAGACTAGTTAGAA